GTAAAAGTTAACTATAACCGAATAAAAGGAGCCGGCCAAGAGGCCACCTTAACACCAAAAAAAAAAAAAAAAAAAGTTTTCTCACACTGCAAGTTTTAATTCTGAGAAAATGATAGAAGTGTTGGAAAATGTTGAGCCCAAAAAATTTACAGCAATAATTTTAGACGCAGAATCATCAATAGTAGCGGCTAAATGTCAGGTCACAACGAAATATCTGTATATCTTGTCAATAAGATGTATTGTGCATCACATTCAATTAATATCTAGCAGTATTTGTGATTTACTCTATGCAAAAAAAGTTCTTTCTAACTGCTAAACAATAGTAAGTTTTTTTAGAAACTTTTATTTTGCGGGTGCTGCCCTTAGAGAGGAAATTACATTTCTTCTACTGCTGGTGAAAATTTAAAGTTAACAACTAAGATATGGTGGTCAACTATATAGGATTCTTGTGAATCCATATTACGTAATAAAACAAATATTAAATCGGTAAGTTTACAATTATTTCAAAATACATTTTTTTTGTTTTTTTTTTCCATATCATATTTTATCTAATTGGTTTGTTTCTAATAGGTTTTAGAAAAAGAATCTCAGATTTTTAATCGTTCAAATGCTGTAAAAAACTTAATTAATGATCGTCAATTTTGGATTGATGTTGAGCAATTACAAAATATTCTTGGTCTAGTAAAATATGCTGTAAAAAGCTTGGAGTTTCGAACTACCTTGTTTGCGGATATATTTGTTCAACTAGTTAAAATAGCAATTGCTATTCAAGAAATTTCAGTCTTATATAATAACCAATTTCAGCGTGATTGTATCCTATTTATAACAAGCAATAGAAAGAATTTGATACAGGATTATATCTTCTAGCTTTTTTTTTTACACCCAGCTTATCGTGGTATTTATAAGTCTAATATACGCATAGCATACTACTTTTATTTTATTGATTATTATTTTTTTAAATAGATGATTTTTTTGAGCCCGGTATATATAAAAATTATGTTCTTAAAAAAGCGCTAGAAATATGGAAACAATTGGATGGTAGTTGAACAAATGCTAACCTTTTGAAAACTCAGATAAGTTTGTACAAAAACCAAGAGCCTCCTTTCGATGATAGATTTATTTCATCTGTTAATACCATTACTAATTGGTGAACTTCAGTCAATCTTACAAAGAATGAAGACCATATTAAAACCCTTGCCTTGTGAATACATTCTATTTCACCCTATAACGCTGCTTGTGAATGAGTCTTTAGTATACTAGGCTAGTATTTCAAAAAAAGACAGACTAGGCATGTTAATTTTTTTTCTTTAATGTTATCATGTTTTACATGAAGATTATCTAATAAATCAAATTTAATCAGATCACATAAGTTAGGATAATCCTCACCCAACTTTATATAATTAATTACAAGTACTATCTTTAGTTTAAGTATCAAACATCTAGAAGTTATAGCCAAGATGTATTCATTTTTAATCAAGAACACTAAATCAGAACTTAACTATATTGATCCAAATTTTTGTCAAGAGAATTTTTTGTCGATCTTCAATAAAATTGCAAGCTCCATAAAAGATGGTACTGACTTATTTAGTGAGGATGATTTGTCCTCTGTTCTTGAAGAACTTACAGAAGACAATGCGACTGATTCTTCTGAAGAACTAGAAGATCTTGTTAGTAAAAATTCGTTAAATTTGGAAGTCAAAAACTTCATATCTTTATCTTTTAAGTTGAAGTCTAATGAATTGTTAAATATGAGTGAAGATATTATACATGGCAATAAAAATTTTGATATAAATGATTTAATTAGTGGTTCAGATGAATAAATGAAGACAGTATATTTATTTTATTTTATTTTTTTGAATTATCATACATGTGATCTGTGATTATATGAATAGGTATGATCACGCTTTATCACAAAAAAAAAGAAGCTAAATAGAAAGTAAAGTATTTTGATAGTAATATAGAGATATACAAAAAAAAATTCTAGTATTTCCTCTATATGTAATCTTTTTTTTTGAAAAAAGATTAAATAAATAAATAAATAAATAAAATAATAATTAAATGGGTTGCTTATTTATTTCTGATAAAGATGCTGTTAGCGTCACTTCATTTCGATATATTATTACACCCAAAGATATTTGTGAACAAATTTTAAACCTCGCAAAAAAAGGTATAACACCCTCGCAAATTGCTGTAAATCTTCAAGACATGTATAACATTAGACCGACTAGAAATATTACTGTAAACAAAATTCTATAAATCTTGAAGTTTTTGGTAGATTTTTTTTTTTTGTTTTAAAATAAAAAATCAATTGAACAATAATATTATTCACTTTTTCAAGGTTTAGCATCTGAGATTCCTAAAAGTCTCTATCATTTGATAAAGAAAGCAGTTGCTATTCATAAGCACTTGGAGTTTAATCGTGATGAAAATAACTCTAAATTTCGATTAATTTTGATTGAATCAAAAATCTGCCGTCTCGTCAGATTTTACAAAACAACTAGACAACTTTTTTCAGATTGGAAATAGTATCCTTGCTTTTTATATTCATTAAAAAATTTGGTAGAATTTAGACCCCCATTCAAAAATAAATAAATAAATAAATAAAATACCGCTTTATGATCAATTATCTTATCTCTATTAAGGAGTAAACCAAGAGCTAATGATTTTATAGTATCAACACTTATATTTAGGATCAAAATTCTCTATTTTTAGCATAGATCTCATTCAAATTTATCAATTCTATATAATGGACATTTAACTACACCTCCAACTATGGCCACTTTCTTGCCAAATATGATTATGCTAATAAAAAATAGTGGTTACTATCCAAATTCACACATCTGGTTCTCTTGCTTTATCTATTATAGCTTGGTTTGTTCATGCCCAAATTCCAAATTCTGGTCAAACTAATCTTTTTTTTAATTTAATTTGTATAATGGCCTCTAGTTTAATAATAGCATCATTTATAATATATATGAGATTTTAGTATGCTTTATAATTAAATAATTAAAACAAATCTTAAGAAATGAGTTCTCTAAAATTGAAAGTAAATTCTATTTTCTTTCTGTAATAAAGTTAATCATAAGAATTTTTACAATTAACTTTATCACAGGGTTAAGGAATAGGCCTAATATGTATAATGAAAGCTTAAATATTTACTTCAGGTTTTTAGTTTGATAGTACTTTGCTTAGAAATGATAATTTATCGTAATTTAAATTAATTTGCATGAATTAAAAAAAATTATTGTGATAAATCATGACTTCGGTAGAACATTATATTAAATTTCTTGGCTGATTGAATAGTACGTATTTATTACATATGATGATATATGTTTATAAAAGATCTATGTACTAAAGTTATAAACTACCTTGGTATTCGTACAATTTATTTACTAAAGTGTGAAAATACTAAAGTTGGGTGTGGAAATATCGATTTCTTATTTGATTATAAAATTGAAGCTACGATATATAAATATTAAAATTTTTTAATGTTATAAATTTGCTGTTTATAATATTGATAAGATTTAAATTAATAAAAGTATTTATTAACAATAAATATAATTAAGTATGTGATTGGGATTTAGGATGGGATAGGATTTTGGGATTTGGGATGAGATTTGGAATTTGGGATAGGATGGGATTTGGGATTTGGAATGGAATTTGGGATAAGATGGGATTTAACCAGAGTTTGGAATTATGACAGTCTATATAGGATTTTTCTAGTTTGGGATTTGAGATTTGTTCATATGAGATTTGGGTTTGGGTGGGATTTTTAAGATTTATAGTTTTGCCAACAAGTATAGCCTTGACATGTTTGTTGTCTTGTTGTACTGATTTGGAAAGTAAACAATACTGATTGTTTTGGTGTATGTGATATCGATCTTTTGGAGAAGGTAAATTGAAACACCTACTTTTTACAAAAAATCCTCAAAAAAAAGTGGTGGGCCAACGAGAGTATGTAAAGTTCTTCTTGTAAGAGTTACAATTGTATAGTTCAGTTCCTCAGTTTCTACTTAGTATTTTGTTCAGAAACCTACAGTGATGTTGCTTCCAAAATATTCTTTTGGTTTGGATGTCGAAAGTGCAAAGGAGTTCACTAAAAGCTTAACCTAAAAGCACAGCCCACTTGTTGTTTATATGCCCGCTTCTCGGTGTTTCAGTATATAAAGTTTCGTTAACAGCAAGTATGTTTGTATAGTACTAGGAATATTTAGATATCTACTTTGTTGCTTTTCTATATTATTTTTCTGTAGTTTGGTTTGTTTTGTTGTTGACAAGGGATCGTTAGAAAGTATAAATAGCAATATTCTAAAATAAAATTTAGATATTTACTTGTTAAGTAAGGTTTTTAAAAAAATAAAAGAAGTATAACTTGCTATTAAAACTTTTCTAAAATAAGTTTTTTAAAACTGTAAAGCTATTATTACAATATAGTTAAATAGTCTAATTCTTTTATAATGTGAGTTAATTTATTTCAAAATTAAACAAAATTGTAATATATGAAAAATATTTGTTAATTAGCTATTTAGTTTAATAAGTATTTGATATATTGGCAGCTCTAGCAACTAATAAAATACTTTCTTGTTATCTGACATGATATAACAGATAACTAGTTTATCTAGCAGATATGATATATATACTGATAGAACTATATTATTGCCCAAATAAATACTCTTTGATTAATAATAAGTATTGATAATTTAAATAATAGATATATAATGATAAGAGTGTAAATATATTTAATAGACAATCTATCTGTTATCTGGAGAGGATTTGCAAATTTTATAAATAAATTTTACTATTAAGCTAAATGTGAAGAGATTACATTTAAACCTTTTTTTTGTACTAAATAAATCGCCTTTAGGCTTATAACAAAAGTTGTAGAGCTTATCAAGACATATCTAATAGTGATAAGAATACTAAAATCAGCCTAATGGTTCTTGAGAAATCTTCAAAAAAATATTTTACTAATATATAAAATTTCTTTAAAAAAAATTAATTTTTTTTAAAAAAATTTTATATGTTGATGAAATGTTTTTTGAAGATTTCTTAAGAACTACTAAGCTAATTCACTACTATTAGATGTGTCTTGATGAGTTCTACAACTTTTGTTATAAGTTCAAGAGTAATTTACTTAATACAAAAAAAGTTTTAGATATAATCTCTTCACATTTACTAATTAAAAAATTTATATATAATTTATATATAAATTTTATATAATCTGCATCATATAGCTCTCCAGATAACTGGTGAATCATCTATTAATATTTTAATATCATTATAAACTACCAATCTATGAAGACTTATTAGAGCCTTTAAACCCTCAAGAGTAAAAAATACAAATAAATATATTGCAATATGGTTATGGTTAGTTAGCAGATATAGAAATATACTTAATTATAAATTTGAAGAATTTTTTTGCAAATTTTTTATATAGTTAAAATGAATAAATAAAAGAAATCTAAAGTTAAAATATTTATGCTTCTTATATATGATAATTAAAAGAATATTTAACTATTAAACTATGCAATATATGGGACTTTTATAAATCAAAAAAGAATTACAAAGACTATCCTAAAATTTATAATAGTATTTATTAGACTATACAAAGTTGTTTTTCATTTTGTATTAATTGCTAACTCAATTTTTTAATTTATCATTTTTTTTTAAGCCTAATTGTGCCAATTATTCATTTAATTTTTTTTATAAATTACTCTAATATACTTGATAGAGATCTTGTTATTCTAAAATTATCTAACAGAATTGATAAAAAATTTGACTTTTAACCCAATTTTTGATTCTATATTATACAAAGCAAAAAATTAAATTTTGCAATCATAAACATGAAAAAAAAAGAAAATAATTCAATCAACTAGAAATTTTAAAATCCATAAAATACAAAACAAAAATCAACCTTGTGTGATCTTATCCTATTTAATTATAAAATAATATAGTATTTGTTAATTTGATTTGTTTTTTTAAATTCAAATATAATGACGAGAGTAGAATATTTAATAGATTAAAACAATATTTTAAAAATTTAGAT